AGCAGCAGTATTCGGTGGACATGGGCCAGTCGCCGGTCGGCGCCATGCAGCGAATTCACTCCTCGCCTCAGCAGCAGCAGCAGCAGCAACAGCAGCAGGTCTGCTTTGTTTGCCCGCATTTGTCCCTCCTGGGGCCGGTGCGCGTGCTTGTTTGGCGCACTGAGCGAGCTGCTTAATGAGGCATCGGTAAATTGGCTCAGTTTGCGCCACTGATGTTTTGCGAACTCATCCCCTGCGCTGCTTCGCTTTTCATAGACCACTTTCAGCAGCTGCTTGAAAATGAGCCAGATGGCGCCCCTCTTCCACAATCCGTGTGGTGCGGAGCCAGTTATTATTAAACTGGTTGCCAAGGGTGTGCATTATGAAGGTGGACGTTGGTTATATTGTTGGAACTTGTTTACTGCTGCTGAAGCGGACTTGTTTGTTTGTCGCTGCAGAAGTTTTTTTTGCTCCGAACACCTGCCGTCCCTGTTGCCTGGTGGGCGTTTTCCCTCCTTCTGCAAATTTTACTTAATCGCAACGGCATGAATAGATCTGAACCTCAGCACAGGAGCCCTTCAACCCTGTCGATGCTGAGCGGCGCACACTTGATTCTGGACGTTTTATTGGAATTTCTTGCAAGGAAAAGTGTGCCGATTCACGGCGGTCCCAGCTAGCAGGACATGATTGGCGAGCATCACTTACTGCTAGTCAAGCTGACATTGCTTCATACCATCCAAGCTTAGTCGGACAGCAGCATACGTCACAGTGTTTTCTTGGCTTCCTTGGTTCCAGTCTTGCCTCCCCCAGCCCGCGATGGTCAAAAATATGTGAAGGAAGTGGGTGCTTGTTTGCAGCTTACTCCTTTTAACTGGTGGATAAAGGACGAACTCGGTTGCTCGTTCTCAGCCTCTCCCAGCTGCTTGCCAGCATATAATACCTGGAAAAGGAGTACGCAGAAGTGCCTCTGATTTTGTGTTACCGATTAGATGGTCCCTGAAATCCATCCCTATATGCATCAAGTATTATTTTGGAACTCTCTCTTCCGCTTTAGCACCGCATGCCTTTTCCTGTAGTCTGTATGAGAATGATGTAAACTGCTGAATTAATTCATGCAGTAAATAGAGCACGCAGCTGAGAAGTGACAAACTGAAGAAAGGCGCTGA